GGTGTGGGGGTTCTATTTATACCCTTTTGCCTTTTGATCTCAGCCGTCCATTTTGATTAAATCTGGGTCGTCCGTGCGATTGCATCTGGGTCGTCCGTGCGCACGCTTTATCTGGGCCGTCCATGCGCGCGGGGACGTATATGGGTCGTCCGATCGCGCGCACGCGGATCGCCCATGGGGCTCGTTCCCTGGTCGACGTGGTCTTGCCACGCGGCAGGTCCTGGTAGGCCAGGGCTGCTGACTGGGCCGCTAACGTGGCTGCTGACGTGGCGCTCCCTTTTTTTTTAATTAAACTAAATAAAATTAATAAAATACTAACAAAAAATGCCCAAATTGTTTGGGCGTTACACTGGTACCTTCACCGCATCATTCGATACTGCCACAATACAATTCGGTGCCTACATCATATCATCCGGCACTACTACAGGACCACTCGGTCCTTCTCCAGCATAATCTAGTCCCTCTTTCACGGGACTCAGTTCCACCCATGATGGACAAAAACTACATTAAAAGTACAAAAGATTAAAACATATACCTTTATAGGGGCATCCTCTTTTAAAGAGGCCAAGTATTGGTTAGTTGAGATAAAGAGGGCCTTTATGACTCTTGGGGTGGTTCCTAAACAGAAAGTTGTACTTGCCACCTACATGCTTGTGGGAGAGGCAGGTTGCTGGTGGTAGCTCAAATAGGTCACCCTGCCCCTTACAGTCACTTGGGAATAGTTCTTGATGAACTTCAATGCAGAGTACCTCTTAGAGCACCTCTGACATTTGCAAGAAATAGAGTTTGCACACCTATTCTATGGTGATATGACTGTGTCGGAGTATTCCTGAAGGTTCTTAGAATTGGGCCAGTATTCCCATGAAAGCATAATGCATGAAAGTAAGAAGACAAAAAAATTCGAGTGGGACCTCCTTCTTGAGATCAAATAACAGTTGTACGTATTTGAGCTCAATACTTACTCAGTCGTTCTGGTTAAGACACAGCTAGTGGAGAGGAAACTTTGCATCTTTCCTTCAGTAGTGGGGAATCTCAGACCTCTGGTTTCACACTGTAGGCCAACACCCACTGCCCCGACCTAGCAGAATAAAAGACTTAGGCTAGTGACTCAGACTCCTCCTTAGGCTCTGGTAATAAGACGCGATAGAACTTGTCAATACTGTGGTAAAGATCATGAGGACTGACCATGCTATCGGCTTAACAATACCTATTGCATATGTGGGAGTGCCCAATATTATGCGAGAGAGTGCCTGCAAAATCATAAACATGTCAGACCTCCTATCTAGAGTAGAACTTACAACCTCATTTAGCGGGATACTGAACCCAACCTGGATGTGATACATGACAAATATAAGAAAGAAGTTTGCATTTAAGATATCCTGATAGTCCGAGACTTTTCAGATGTATTTTTTTATGAACTACCTAGACTGCCAGTGGACAGAGAAGTTGAATTCACCATAGATCTTCAACTTGACACCCAGCCTATTTCGGTTGCCCCTTACCACATGAGTCATGTTGAGACGGAAGAACTGAGGAAATATATCAATGAATTTCAGGACAGTGGGTTCATCCGATATAGTGTATCTCCTTGGTATGTTGGAGTAACATTTATAAGGAACGAGAATGGGACGTTAAGATTATTTATTGACTACAGGAGATTGAACAGAGTCACGATTAAGAACAAGTACCCCATCCCTAAAATTGATGACATTTTTGACAAGTTGTAGGGTGCCCAAGTCTTCTTCAAAATCAACTTGCGTTTGGGTTACCATCAGGTAAAGATCAGGATAGAGAACATTCCTAAGACAGCTTTCAGAACCAGGTCCGGACATTTTGAGTTCCTAGTCATGCTATTTGAACTAACCAACGCGCCAGTCATTTTTATGGACTTGATGAATAGGATTTTCAGACAATTCCTGAATTAGTTCATCATTGTATTTATTAATGATATCCTGGTCTATTCAAAGAGCAGAGAGAAACATATTCACCACTTGACTCAAGTTTTATAGGTTCTCAAAGATAAGAAACTGTACATCAAATTGAGCAAGTATAAGTTTTGGCTCAAGCATACTACTTTTCTAGGGCACATAATATCAATGGATGAAGTATTAATGAACCCCAAAAAAGTTGAAGCAGTGCTTGGTTGCGAAAAATTGACATCGGTCATGGAAATTCGTAGTTTTCTGAGAATTTGTAGAATGATTTTCTAGCATAACAGCTCCTTTGACCTGACTCACAAAGAAGAACCTTAAGTTTAAATGGAATAAAAACTGCGAAAGAAGCTCTATAGAACTCAAGAAGTGGTTAACTACTGCACTCGTGTTGGCTTTACCGAGTAGGACATGTGGATGTACAGTTTATAGTAATGTCATTTACTTGGAGTTAGGTTGTGTTCTGATGCAGCATGATAAGGTCATAGCCTATAGGTCTAGACAGCTAAAGAGTCATGAAAAAAATTACCCTACCCATGACTTAGAATCTGTCGTCCTTATCCACGGCTTGAAAACCTGGTGCCACTACCTGTTTAGGGAGACTTTTGATATTTATATTGATTATAAGAGCTTGAAGCACATATTCACTCAGAATGACCTTAACATGCATCAAAGGCGTTTGATAGAGCTTCTCAAGGGCTACGATTGTAATATTTTATATCACTCGGGTAAGGGCAATGTGGTAGCTGACGCACTCAGTAGAAAAAGTGCAGATATGTTAGCTCACCTAATGGTTTTTCAATACAGGGTAATAGAGGTTGTACAATAGATACAACTTCAGGACTTGAAGAGAGTTGCATGTTTAGCTCACCTGACTGTCTAACCCAAATTGATATAGAGAATAAAAGAAGCTTAATTCACCGATTCCACCCTAGTAGCTCTTAGAAAGGATGCAGAACATGGAGTAAATTTAAAATTATGAGTCTCTGCTAATACGTTGCTTATATTTCAGACATAGTATGTATTTCATGTGACAGTAAACTGAAAAAAACATCATGATAGAGGCTCATAGCTCAAGGTTCGCTATGCATATCATAAGTACTAAAATGTAACAACACACATTATTAAACGTGGTATGGGGATGACTAGTTAATTGTTTAAGTTGGATATTGAGTTCACGAGTAGGGGGACATCCCTATAGACTCCTATGGGTATCGGTAAGCAGGTAAGAAATGAAAGTTATTGTCTCTTATTCTCTTATGCGTGAAAATAAAAAATGGTATGAAAATGTGTATTCATAGGTTGTTTTTGAAAAATTCGTTACGGTAAGTACGAAATAAACGGTTTTCTTTGTATTGAATGAATTTATTCAAATTAAGGGCTCAATTAGTTCTTTTATAATTTTTACCAATCTTCAATTTTCAGTTTCTATGATTAGTGTGATATTCTTATTGGAGTAATGTACCTCACCATTTTATTAAATATTTTATATCAAGAAAACCAAGATCCAGATCCAGATCCCGATCAGTAAGAAAATTGTGAGTAGTTTACCACCTGAACTCTCTTTAAGTGCTAGTGAAAGTTGTTTTAGGAAGATTATTTATTCGTTCTTCTTTTTATTTTTTTAATTATCGTTTGTCTTTAAGGATATTTTTGTAACTCTATTATGCATTTTAAATTATTATATAAGAAATATAAACTCTAACTTTATTAATCGTTTACTCATTTAAATTATAAATTCATTTTATTTAAGATTTCGACCCTTTACAATAGTCATCTTGTCATTGTATAGTTAGGTAATTATAAATTAAAATATATAATATAATAATTTATCATATATATATATATATTAATTTTAAAGGATATGTGCATATGTAGCATGTCGTTTAAGGTTGTTTTTGATGGTGTATGCATGTGAATTAGAAAAGTTTTGAGGCATTTTTGGGTGAAACTGTTTAAAAATTGGAACACGCACAATATCTTTTTGTAAAGACTAAACATTGACATAGGCTTGCAAAACAACAAACAATCTGGGTTGCAAGTTTATGTAAACTCAAAACACCACCTACTTTTTCCATCGATTTTAGAACTGCTCCATTTGAATATATATATATATATAGTTAGATATATTTATGTGTAAATGTATGTATGTATCTATGTCTACTGCAGTGTATGCTTATATATATCTACATATATGATAGCTAGGAGATTAGGGGATTCATTATTTTCAAACTTGCTAACCTAATTAATTTTTTTTTTCCATATATGCCAGTTGTTGCATGTATAAAATTGCAGGATGCCCACAAAGTGAGGAAATTAACAACTGTGATATGCTATTTTATTTAAATAATTATATGATATCCTAATTTTGACTCTAATTTTAATTTTAAGTAATTTATAAATATGACTATGATCTGTAAGAATGAAAAATTTTAAAATAAATATGATGTGTAAACAAATATATTTTTAAAGATTTGAAGAATTTTCCCCTGGCATGTAAATATATTAGTATTAATTACCCAAATATATGATTGTAATTATCTTTAAATATTACCATCAATTACCCAAATTTACTATTATAATCATATTTAGTTTGTCTTATATAACTTTTCATAAAAGTTATAAAATAAGTTTTCAAAAGTATATATATATATATATATATTTTTTAAATTCTGATTGAATAAATTCATAGGTTTTTAAGTTGAGACCAATCTGAAGTCAAAACAGCAATTAAGATGTTTGGTTTCAATAGAATTGATCTGCTTCCATTCCCAATCTTAATAATGTCCACCATCAATGGATTGGCTCTATCAAATGTTTTGATCCAATATCTTTTCTAAAAGCTTATTAGTAACATAACTTAAATTTATTATATAAAAAATTATATATGCTTTGTATGGAACAGATCTAAAAGAATATGATATATATATATTGTAATTCAATTAAGAGAGGTGACTCTTTGTCTTTTAAGGTTATGTATTTTAACAAAATTAAAAATGAAAATTTTAAATAAATTATAGAAAATTGTTTATTTTAAACATAGGCATAATGATTTTATTTAGTGTCAAATTAGATGGGCAATGCCAAACTAATGGGCCTACTTTTATTGAGTGGGCTGCATAGATTTTTTTGACCCATATATCCTACTAGATTGGGCCTTGTATATGGATTCCTGGCATCAGCTCAGTCTTATTGGTCTGAACCAGAGACGACTTCATCTTTCTTATTTCTTCCACGGCTCAACTTAAACATTAACTCTTGAGCTTTAAAATCACCCGGATCTCTCCTTTCAATGTCTGAACTACATTGTCCAAAATCCTAACCAGGACTGGAGAATCTACAGGGGAAAGATTGCATTCAGACTTCGATGATGTCTTGACGACAAAAACCTTCCTCCACACGAGAACGATCTTTTCATGGAAACAGGTCCTCTGTGAAGCCGTTGAGCTATTGAAGATGCCCCTGCTTTCTCTCTAAATTTGCTCAAGTACTTACCTTCTTGCTTTAATGGGCTCCCTGTACTTGCTACTTTCTCTCTGTCATCTTCTTCGTGATCATCAAGTAGGTTTATGTTTTCTTCTCCAGATGAAACAAGGAATAAACTGGAGACGCCGATAACCAGCGGTGAAGCTCTTGAGGAATTCATTGACACAGATCTCCTCATTGGTCGAATCTCCTTTTTCACAGCTTGATAACGGCCGTTTTCGATAGAATTCATGGCTTCATTCAGAAGTTTCCCATCACCAACCTGCGGTATTATCTCACGCCGACTCTCTGTTTCTGTTCGGTTCTCATAGTTCTCTCCATTTCTCTCCGGATTCTCGTTAAAATCTCGATCATTCCCGGAATCCTCCATCTGGGTATTGACAATCGTACTCGAATTTTCCGAACTCCGCTCCACCGGCGTCGGACGAGAACTCGCCGGGGCGGTGACTATATGTGCTCGACACAGGGGACAATTGGTGTGAGACCTTAGCCAAGTGTCAATACAAGCAATATGAAAAGCGTGGTTGCATTTCGGCAACAATCTGAGAGTATCATCTTCTTGAAACTCATTCAAGCAAACTGAACAATCCGTGCCGTCGACCAACCCTTCACCTCTTTTATACCGGCAGACGGTGATGGAGTTTATAATCGCCGGCTGCAAACCGACGGTGGCGACAAACCAGATGGGATGATCAACTTGGTTCTCATCGAGAAAATCCTCGTCTCTGTTTTCCGATGGAGTAGTAGTATAACTCCTGGAACTGCACCAACCGCAACAGGATTTGGCTATAATAACGTAGTAACTGACAAAGAGGAAGAAGCTGGCGAGTAAAGCGACAATGACGATGACGTAGGGAGAGATGTGTGGACTTTGGTCAACACGATCAACGTCTGAGAGAAGAGCCGGCGGGGGGAGGATGTCGTTATAGTCTGGGTATGGATAGCAGTTGTAAGAGCAAGGTGGGTCACAGAAATCTTGGCAAGGGATGGAATGGTTTGCGTTGGCTAAAGTTGGGAATAGTTTTCTGTGCTTGTTCGCCATTAAAGACTGTAAAAAAGAAGAAGAAGAGGGAGAAGGTGAAGAGAGATGAGAGGAGGGTCAGTGGGTTGTAAAACTTGGTTGTTTGACTTGAAAGAGAAGTAATGAAGGAGAGGATGGGTGAAGTAGGATGTCTCTTTCTCCTAGAAGCTGATTCTTTTACATACGTTTTCTTTCACTTGCTGATTTGACTTCTCAATTTTCTTTTATCATTATATACGTATATACACATCAAATACACTGTGATAAAATATATATATATATATGGTAATATCTCTGGTTATGAGTACTAATCAAGATGATAAGTACGTGATAACTAAGAGTAGGTAAAATTAAAATGTAGTGACTAGAAGAAAAACAAGGGTGCCCAATTGGGTTCACATTATATGTATTAATTGAAATCCACGTCATATATCATTATTACATGTATTTTTTTAATTGTAAATTTGGGTAATTGATAGTAATATTTAAAGATAATGATAATTTTATATTTGGGTGATTAATAGAAATATATTTTATATACTAGGGAAAATTCTTCAAATTTCTTAAAATATATTGTTTTACGTATCAAATTTATTTTAAAATTCTTCATTATTCAAAAAGTAAGACAGAGCATAATCATATTTATACATTACTTAAAATTAAAATTAAAATTAAAATTAGAGACAAAATTAGGAAACGACATAATTATTTAAATAAAATAGCAAATCACAGTAGTTTAATTTCCTCAGTTCGTGTATACATGCACCAACAACTGGCATACATTCAAATTAATTAGATTAGCAAGTTTGAAAATAATGAATCCCCTAATCTCCTGGCTAACATATATATACATATATACACACGCACGTACGCACCACAGTAGACATACATACATACATACGTACAAACAAACATGTATGCACATATACATACATATATGTAAAGATATATATGTGTGTGTGTGTATATATTTATTCAAATGGAGCGGTTCCAAAATCAATGGAAAAAAGAGTGGTGTTGTGATTTTACATAAATTTGCAAGCCAAATTGTTTGTTGTTTGCAAGTAAGTCAATGTTTAGTCTTTACAAAAATATTTTGTGCTCGTTCCAATTTTTAAACATTTACACCTAAAAATGCCTCAACCTTTTCTCCTTCACATGCGTGGACTACAAAAAACAACCTTAAACGCCATGCTACATATACTCACATCTTTTAAAAAATAATACATATTATAAATTATATGTAATTATATAAGAGTATATGTACAGTAACACACCATACCAAGTTTGATAATATGATCTTTCTCACTCAATTTATAAATAAAATAAAATAAAATAAGTACTACCTGTGAAGTCGACACTAGACTTTTTCCGATCTCGAGAACCAAAAAAAGAAAACTAAATTGGTTTGCTTTTTTACCCCATAAAGTGCTATTCTGTCAATAAAAGATTAAACTTATGAGATACTGATTTGAATTTAAGAGGAATATTAAATTTTATTATCGTATTAATTGTTTACACAACTTTAATTATTTCTATTGGTCGAACTGTCAAACTTAGTTTGAAAAGGTCTAGCATCATTTTTTGAGGAGTATCCAATATCTTTTTTTTTTTTTTCAATTAGAGAAAAGCTAATTCATGAATGAAAACTGTCTAATTTATATATATTTTTTACTTTGAAGATCGACTCATCTCCTAAGTAATGCCTGTAGAAGTGAAACTTTTTGAGTCAGTTTTATTAATACTACCTGGCCAAGATAAAGTTATGTGTGGTTGGACATTCTCAGGGGACAAATGATGAACAAGAATCATGTCAAACTTCATTAAAAACGTAGAAATGGTGAGATTTTTTCCATAATTTTTCTCTCCTAATATCCTCTTATAGAAACCATAAATAGATGTTTATTTACTATCACTAGGAGTTCTGTTTATTTGAATTTATTGAATCTGTCAAATAATTTTTTTAAAAAAATCTTCTCTTTTCCTTTAGCAGTTTGAAGCGGGAGTGAAAACACTTACAAAAAAACGGAGTCTTCGTAGTTCTGGTGGAAGGCATGCCACCAGTGAATCTGCTAAGATCAGAAAAATAAATAACGTTATGTGGTTAAAAGTTATCAGATATTGACTATCATCAATCATCAACATAATCTGAAATGTTAATTTCTTACAAGAACACTATGATCTTGAGTTGACTAGCAAGCATGACAGTTTCCAACAGAATTAAGGGTTGAGATTTCGATAACTTATGATTAAAGAATTAGGAAAACATAATGTATTAAGTTTAAGATATGAAACCTACTGATATATGATAAAAAGAATTTGAACATAATATCTAGAGAAAAATTACTGAGAATCAAGATTGGAGATCTTTGATTTTAATAATCAAATCTACAACTCGATATTTATATAATAATTACATAAATAGTCTAATAAATAATAAAGTAAATATCTTATTTATAGATACCACAACACAATTAAAATAGAAAATATTAAGTCAATCCAAAATATCTATTAATAAAAAAAAAAACTAATTAGTAAATAAATTATATTAAAAAATGAAAAAGATAAAACTAATCATAAACTTGAAAAATAGATCCCCAGGACTTCTTCAAGTAATCGACGACACAATTTTAGTGTCTCATTTGTTCTAGAGCGATATGAAAGTTGATCTTCACCACCCAGTGCCTAAAGAAAATGCCATATTTTCCGCTAGAGCAAGGTTTATACACACTTCAGTTCTAATAACAAACCCTTCCCTCCACTTATTTATTAGTGTGATGACTACGATTTGCAAGGTTTATCACCTAACTCACAAAATTATGTCCTCCTTTCCTAATGTAAACTTTTGGTTAGTATAATTTTTTTGTTTGATTAAATTTTGTAAGAAATAAAAGATATACGTGTCTAGTTTCCGATTTTTAAATTTATTTCTTAGTCATGTATATCATGTAACTCATTAACAGGTTTATTATATAGTGGATTTAAATAATGATGGGTCAGTTGCTGAATTTCTCTGCCCATGGTATTTTCTGTGTCACTTTTTCTTTGGGAGAACTGTACACTTTTTTATTAATGCATTTAGTGGATGTGCATATAATTTCTCACGTAAAACGTCATAATTGCATATAATTTGCACATAAATCTCTTTTCTTATTTATTAAAACTGCTTCTTGTTCGTAACTAGAATCAAGGCGTTGCTGCTTTGCGGTAATGTTTTGTATCATTGAAATATATACCTTATACAACAAGGACACAATTCCTTGCATGTTGCACTTGATATTTGCCAATGACGTTGTGATGCAGAACAAGAAGACCCTAGAGTAGATCTACCTCAATTGTAATAGATATTTATATAATTATAATGTTTATTTATTATTAAAATACTTAACTTATTTAAAATTATTATATATTATTAATACAAATTTTATTATTTTTATTTAGTAATTATTTATAATTAGCTTATTTTGAATTGGTTTAATATTTTTTATTTTAATTGTATTATAATATCTATTAATAAGATACATTTTTTATTATTTATTAGACCATTTAAGTAATTATTATGTAGATATCGAGTTGTAAATTTGATTATTAAAATCTAAGATTATCAATCTTGATTCTTAATAATTTTTTTTTATAGATATTATGTTCAACTCTTTTTATTTTATATAAGTAGGTTTCAGATCTTAAACTTGATATATCATATTTTCCTAATTATCTCATCTTAGGTTATCAAAATCTCAACCCTTAACTCATTTAGACACTGTCATGCTTGCTAATCAACTCAAGATCATAGTGTTGTTGTAAGAAATTAATATTCCAGATGTAAGTTGATGATTGTCAATCTCTGATAACCTTTAACCACATAACGTCGTTTGTTTTTCTGACCTTAGCAGATTCACTGCTGACATGCCTTCCACCAGAACCATGAAGACTCCGTTTTTTGGCAAGTGTCTTCACTCCTGCAATATGTGACAAGACTTTTTTAGTTGTAACGGGCCTCAAACTACTAAAGGAAAAGAGAATTTTTTTTTAAAATTATTTGATAGACTCAACAAATCCAAATAAATAGAATTTCTGGTGATAACAAACAAACATCTATTTATAGTTTCTATAGGAGAATATCAGGATGAAAAATTATGGGAAAAACCTCACCTGTTCCACTTTCTTAACAAAGTTAGACATAACTCTCGTTCATTTTTTGCCTCCGAAAATGGACGCCCAGACATAACTTCATATTGGCCAGGCAGTGTTGATAAAAATGATTCAAGAAGTTTCTCTTCCATAAACATTACTTCAGATATGAATCGACTTTCAAATAAAAAACATAAATTAAATAAACTTCATTCATGAATTAGCTTTTTTATAATTCACAAAAAAAGGAAAAAAGATCCTAGATACTTCTAAAAAACTGATGCTAGACCCCTTTGAACTGAGTTTAACATTTCGACCAATAGAAACAATCAAAGTTGTGCAAACAATCAACACAATTATGAAATTTGATATCCTTCCAAAATTCAAACTAGTATCCCGTACGTCTAATATCTTATTGACAGAGTAACACCTTAGGAGGGATCAATAAATTTTGTAACCACAATATTTAACATCCAGAAAAACCAACCGCTAATGGAAGCATCCCTGATGGATTCAGACCTGACCTTTCCATACATCAAAGTCTTTAACTTCCAGATTTAACAAGCATTGAAATTGGAATAATTAACTGCACCGAGATCACGTCCCAACGTTTCTAAATATACTCTCCACTGGGAAGTATCCAAAAGTCAATCGCGGAAAGTACACAAAGCTGCAAATCATATTATTATTTCTAAACAAAATGCTAGGGCCCATTGTACTGTTCGGACGATGCTTCAATGTCACCAAGCAAAATAACACACTGCCAAAATAGCTCCTTAAGGTATAAAATTGATTACAAAGAGATTAAAAGAGCAGTTCTTAATAGTTGTCTATGAGTATTGTAACCTTTGGCAACCGTTATGCATCATATCAAGGTAACAAAAGCGTCACATAGCCAGTAAAATTGAAATCCTACTACTTCGAATTCTCAAAAAAGGCAGTCACAACTAAAAGATGTTTGTACCAAAATCACTTGCCAAGGATGTGTTCTGAATATACTTTCAGCAAAATAGTTTACGAGAATTCTACTGATGGGTCATATCACATGTCAATCAAACATCCAAACAATACTAAATTCTAAAGAATACATGTTGACCAACAAAACTTGTGGCTTTTACGTTTTAGCCTCTACCATCACTCCTACATATCCAAAAATGTTATAGCTTGCATACACATGCACTTTCTTTCGAAGCAACAAAACCATTAATCTCAAACAAATCAAAGAAACATACAGGAAATTGAAGGAGAGAAGAAAAGAGGAAATGGAATTACCTCACGAGTATCGTACTGATATGCTTGTAGAACAGCAATTCCTGAGACATCCTTCCCAATTCCTCCAGCAAGTCGCGAGCCCTAATCTCAGCCTTCTTTGCCCCTCATCGGCCCCATTTCCAAAATCCATCGAGGCCTCGCCGTCATGATCGTAAAGCGAGCACTCTCTCTCCCATTTCTTGCACTAAGTCAAAAACTCGCACACTCCGCGGCCAGTTTCTGGTTCTCTTCTACGAACTTCCTCAGTGCCTGACCATTTAGACTTGCCTTGCCCTACCAAAAAGCCAAAAACAGTCTCATAACACTCACAAATACGTATGAATGCAACATTATATATAAGAACAATACATAATGCACGAACCCTAGCGCGTTCAATGATCTGATCTTTCTCATTCAATTTTGAAAGAAGAAGCAAGTACTGGCCGCGATGCCGACGCTGGGCTTCTTCCGAAACGCGAAGCTTCAGCTGCAAAGTGCGATTGGATATTGGAAGCCCTACGGATTCATCGATCGATTCTTTAATGTAATCGTCGATTTCTTGAAGATTATCCATCTTTTTCACCTCCTTTTTGCTTTTCGCGATCTCCAGACCTAAAAAGAAAACTAGATCGGTTTGCTACTATTGAAAGAAGCCCTGATTGTTAGAGAATCCTAGTCCGGAAATGGTAAGAACAAGAATTTGGATTGTTTGAGCAATTTTTAAAATAAATAAATAAATAATTTGGGGTTGGGCTCGTCTATTTGGCGGGTTTGGCATTTGGTTTTGTAGCCCAAACAAAACCCGGCCCGGTGACGAAAGTCAACACATCTCCCCTTACGTCATCGTCATTCTCGGTTTACTCGCCAGCTTCTTCCTCCTGGTCCTGTCGGGGTTGGAGCAGTTCCAAGAGTTTTAATACTTCTCCGTCGGAAAACAGAGACGAGGATTTTCTAGATGAGAGCCCAAGACTTTCAAGAAATTTACACCCTTTACTTATATACACACATATATATATATATATTAAATAAATTGTGATTGAAAAATATATATGGTAATCTTTGGTTATGAGTCCTAATCAGGATGATAAGTATAAAATTATTAACGTAGTGACTTAAAAAAACAAGGGTACCCAACATTTTCGGATGTCTCTAATTATTATTATTATTAGTTTTTAAATTGGACTAACGATATTTTATGGAAGGTTGCCGGGCCGGGGCTACGAAACCAAAATAGCAAACCCGAAAACCCGCCGAATAGACAAGCCCAAACACAAATCATTTATTTATTTTAAAAATTGCTCTAACGGCTATTGCCCTTTCTCGTCAATTTGAATCCTGCGAATAAATGAGCAAAAAGGTGCAAACAATCCAAATTCTTCTTCTTACCATTTCCGGACCAAAACCCTAACCCCCATTTCCAACTGTAAACTAATTCTAGGATTCTCTAACAATCAGGGCTTCTTTCAGTAGCAGCTAATCGATCTAGTTTTCTTTTTAGTTCTCGGGATCGGAAAAAGCAAAAAGGAGGTGAAAAGATGGATATTCTTCAAGAAATCGATGATTACATGAAAGAATCAATCGACGAATCCGTAGGGCTTCCAGTATCCAATCAGACTTTGCAGCTAAAGCTTCGCGTTTCGGAAGAAGCCCAACGTCGGCTTCGCGGCCAGTACTTGCTTCTTCTTTCAAAATTGAATGAGAAAGATCAGATTATCGAAAGCGCTAGGGTTCGTGCATCATGTATTGTTCTTATATATAATTTTGTATTAATACGTATTCGTGAGTTTTATGCGACTGTTTTTGGCTTTTTGGTAGGGGGAAGCAAGCTTGAATGCTCAGGCACTGAGGAAGTTCGTAGAGGAGAACCAGAAACTGGCCGCGGAGTGTGCGAGCCTTTTGACTCAGTGCAAGAAATGGGAGAGGGAGTGCTCGCTTTACGATCACGACCGCGAGGCCTTGATGGATTTTGGAAACGAGGCTGATGAGAGGGCAAAGGAGGCTGAGATTAGGGCTCGCGACTTGGAGGAGGAATTGGAAAGGATGTCTCAGGAATTGCAGTTCTACAAGCATCAGTACGACACTCGTGGGGTAATTCCATTTCCTCTTTTCTTCTCTCCTTTAATTTCATATATGTTTCCTTCATTTGTTTGCGATTTATGGTTTTGTTGCCTCGAAAGAAAGTGGGTGTGTATGCAAGCTATAATATTTTTGGATGTGTATGAGTGATGATAGTGGCTAAAACCTAAAAGCCGCAAGTTTTGTCGGTCAACATCTATTCATTAGAATTTAGTACTGCTTGGACGTTTGATTAGCATATCATATGACCCATCAGTAGAATTCTTCTTTTTCTTTTCCTAGTAAACTACTTTGCTTAAAGGATATTCAGAACACATCCTTTGCTAGTGCTTTTGGTACAAACATCTTTTAGTTATGACTGCCTTTTTTTAAGAATTTGTGAGTAGTAGGATTTCAATTTTACTGTCTACATAACGTTTTAGTTACCTTGATATGATGCATAGCAGTTGCTAAAAGTTACAATACCCAAAGACAATTATTAAGAACTTCTCTTTTAATCTCTTTGTAACTGATTTTATTCCTTAACGAGCATTCATTTTCGCTGTGTATTAATTTGCTTGATGACACTGAAGCATCGTTCGGACAGTACAATGGATCTTAGCATTTTGTTTAGAAGTAATAATATGATTTGCAACTTTTTGTACTTTCCGTGATTCGATTTGGGTACTTCCCGTGGAGTCTATATTTAGAAAAGATTGGTAAGTGATCCAGGTGCAGTTAATTATTCCAATTTCCATGCTTGTTAAATCTGGAAGTTAAAACTATGATGCATGGTAAGGTGAGGTGTGAATCCATCAGACGGTTCCTTCCATGTTTGGTCTTTCTGGATGTTGAATATTGTGGTTATAAAATTTATTGATCCCTCATGGGTGCTTCTCTGTCAGGAAGAGATTGGACCTATGGGATACTGGTTTAGAATTTTGGAGGAATGTTGAATTTCATGATTATGTTGATTGTCTGCACAACTTTGATTGTTTCTACTGGTAGAAGTGCCAAACTAGTTAAAAGGTGTCTAACATCAGTTTTTGAGGAGTAATGCCAGTATCTTTTTTTTTTCTTTTTAATTGGAGAAGAGCTAATTCATTAATAAAGACTTCAAATTTATATTTTGATACTTTGAAGGTCGACTCATCTCCTGAAGTTATGCCTGCGGAAGAGAAATTACTTGAGTCAATTTTATCAACACTGCCTGGCCAAGATGAAGTTGTGTCTGGGCAGACATTCTTGGAGGCAAACAATGAACAAGAATCATGTCAAACTTTGTTAAGAAAGTGGAACTGGTGAGGTTTTTCCCATAATTTTTTCCTCTCATGAGGTCTTCCTACAGAAACTATTTACTATCACCAGGTATTCTGCTTATTTGGATTGCTGAGTCTGTCAAATAAATTTTTCAAAAAATCTTCTCTTTTCCTTTGGCAGTTTGAGGCCTACAACTAAAAAGGTCTTGTCACTGGTTGCGGAAGTGAGGACACTTGCTAAAGAGAAGGAGCAACTAAGAAAGAACCTTCATTTAGCTGAAGCAGAGGTGAGAAGAATATTATAGCTTCACTTTCTTCTTGCAGTGTCGGTTACCCTAGTCCTTAATTGAAAAGTTACTGGTTTATACAGGGTGAAGTGCTATACAAAGAAAATAAAATATTAAATGAGGAGAATATGTTGTTGAGACAATACCACAAGGAACGTAGTCTTCATGGTTCTGGTGGAAGGCATGCCAACAGTGCATCTGCTAAGGTCAGAAAAACAAATAACGTTCTCTTCTTGTTTAAGGTTATTATTGGAACAAAGTTGAAATCTTGCAAATTTAATTTCTAAACAGATACTTAGTTCAATTAGAAGAGAAAAATACTCACCGAAATGATGTCATTGACTCATGCAATTTCATATAATTGTCATTTTGTTTTTAAATCATCTAGTAGCATTTTCATCAGCTGGTGTTTGCAAATGAATTTCATGTAAAAGTTTTGTATTTATTCTAAACAATATCTAAAGTGTGTATCCCTTGCATATTTTCTTTGCCACCCACCCTTCGATGCTTATTTGATTTAGTTGCAATGACAGAAGAACAAACGGAAATCAAGTCCTAAGAGCAGCAGCAGTCCAATTGAGAAGAAGCTAGACTTTAATGATGTTGATTCGGTTAGACATCCTCTATCACCTTTGCGGTGCAACTCACCTGACTCCAGAATGCGTAAGAAATGACAGCTGCCATATATTTAGCATTTAGTTGTTTCAATATCTTTGTATCTAGGGATGGAGTTACAAGCCAATTAAGAGATGGCTTCCCTGAAGCTAGTTTTTGTTGATTGTTTTATAGTATGGGGAGGTGTTCTTGTTTTTCTTAGTGGGTTAGGTTTAGATTTCTCTGATGTAATGGCATGTTATAACTCTCTTACCAGAGATATGCAGTAACCATAAAAGTGGACTTCTGAAACAAATATGAGAAATACATAATGTGATTATGTTCGGTTGAAAAGGTGTTCGTTATCAATTCTATTTTTGTTTAATTTTATAAAATTATGACCATCTATTTTAAAATCTATTACGTATTAAAAAACGAAAAAATTCATTTTAGATGTATATTTATGAAATATAAGTAATAATATATCATTATTCAAATACCAAATACACATTAATAATAATATAGATTTTTATCGTGGTTGGTGGAATAGAGAAATTAATATCAATTACCAAACGACGTCGGTTCCCCCGGCATTTGACCTCGCAAAAATATCCCTGCATTGTCGCAACTCCTTATCCAAAAGTTGGAATTCCAACGCACGCGTGAACTTCCTCTCGTGTTTGCTTCTGAAGAGCAAAATTAAGCAGCAAACAAAATTCGGTGCTCATGGCTCTACTTCGTCTTCTTCATCAAAGTCCTCTTTCCTATCTTCAAATCCTCTCGGCCAATCCAATACTAAGCACCATACTCGCACTCCCTCCCGAAATCTTTCCATTTCTTGGTCTCTGTCTTCATGTTCTCGTCTCTCTCATTGTCGTTCTCCTACTCATACTCATACCAACACCTTTTCCACCAAAACCAGAAGCGTTAATGTCTCCGTCGATAACCCACAGCTGCAATCCGAAACAGAGCAAGAAGAAGAAGAGTTTTCTAAAGTGAGGTTGGTCGCGCAGAACGTTCCTTGGACTTGTACTCCTGAAGATATTCGTGCGTTGTTTGAGAAGCATGGGAAAGTTGAAGACGTTGAGGTTTTTAAACTTTATAGGTTTTGAGCTTTTCTCTTAATATTTGTATTGATGTGGCTGTTGTGGTTTTTGATTTGTTGATGTAGCTATCCATGTACAACAAGACAAAGAATAGGGGTTTGGCTTTTGTAACAATGAGTTCACCTGAAGAGGCTCTTGCTGCTCTCAATAATCTCGAATCGTATGTAAGCATATTGTTTAATAAATTCAAACATATATATGCGATATGTAAGTATATATGTTTATATTCTCTGGTTTTTATTTGGTTGTCTAGTTTTTTGCTGTCTTTCTTTTCAACTAGAGAATTCATACATTCATCAATTAGTTAATATACATACACTAAGCGAAATACAATATAAATAACCTTAAAATGCGGACACACGCGGAAGTATAGTCCAACCCAAACACATGACTCTTTGCAGAGGAAGGAATGTAAAAACCATTAAGTTAAGCAGTAGTTGGTAGTTTTTAGGAACTTAATGAGCAGAAATATGAGATAGACTACTTGAATTGTCTCTTTATCTTTTGCAATTCAATCATATAATATATTGTTGTTTCTTAGTTTCTTCTGAATCCTGTTGTTTGTTCAACTTGTACTTTCATTATATTGTGATTTGTGATCGATAGGTATTAGAGGGCCGATATTTGAAGGTCAATTATGCTAAGCCAAAAAAGAAGAAGCCAGCCCCACCTGTGCAACCGAGGCCAGCAGTGACTTTTAACTTGTTTGTGGCAAATTTGCCATTTGATGCCAGGTCTAGACATCTGAAAGATTTTTTTAGTGCTGAAAGGGGCAATATTGTTTCTGCTGAAGTTATCTTTTACGATAATCCGAGAAGGTCCTCGGGTTATGGATTTGTCTCTTTCAAAACCAAGAAAGAGGCTGATGAAGCCCTTTCTACTTTTCAAGGAAAGGTATTTTGGGTTCTAATCTCAATGTATTTCTTAATTGTCTATGGTGCTTATGTATGCCAATACTAGGTGCATTTTCTGTCTGAATCTTGAAATTTTCATGTGAATATTGTTGGCCTGTAGATTTTCATGGGAAGACCAATTAGAGTGGCGCGTGGTAGACAATTTGCAAAATTGCAAGCAAAAGATGCACCGGCTGAGTTGAACCCTGACGAGGAGCATGATAGGGCGGCTGCTGTACATTGAAATCGGGCTTTTAGAGGAAGTCAGATGCTTCATTTGTTGACTTTAAAGCGCCTCTAATTGAGTTTTTGCATTTCCATATTAAATATTTATCATTAAGGTTGTCACTTAGGTTCATAAATAGAAGGATTGTTCGTTGCTACTGTATTGGCAATGATATAAATCAACTTCAAACTGGGAGCATGACTTCCTCCATATGAAACCCGCGTCCAACTATGGTGCCCTGAAGGCATTGTACAATTTTATGTTTTCTAAATCTAATGATTAACCGCTAGCGAGTTACAATATATTGATTTTAAACCATAGCATGGATGTTTCCACGACAATAGTATTTTGGATTGTCCAGATTTTGTGAGGAAGTTATTTGATTTTCATTTTACTTGGTAAAAACTCCCTCTACTTAGTAATGCTGACTTGAAATGTTCTAAAATAACACTCTTCTTCTCCAATTAGTTAGAGATGTGTGCAAAATTGCCTGTCATTGATGGCTCTACTGTAATCCCAACTGAACAAAAGAAATATATGTTTATGTTTCTCCATACCTGAAATGTTTTTACGATCTGAATGTCCACACCATTAAATTGTAGGTCAGCATGTTGTCTCTTTGCCTTTGGGCGTATTTTTCTTCTGTGCATTTATTCATCTCCCATGAATTTCATCAATTAATGCCGAATATCAGCTCATTACCTATTTGTTCTGGATACTTACGAGATTACTCTGGTGTTTCTTGAGTGCCAAATATTTTTTTTTTTCCAAATTTATAAGTTAAAGTTGGCTCTGTCAATGATGGAAAGATCATTTGATCATAGCACTACAGAGCTCAGATTTGTAGTCTCACTGTGGGGTTGGCTTCTTCAATTGGCACTTTTCCTGAAGTGGGGTTGCCGCAAAACATACAGTTAAACAGACTTCACTAAACTGCCAGGATGGTTCCTGACTATTTGGAGTCAATGCTAGATGATCTAAACATGTGAGTTGTGCCCAAGCTACAGTTGGAAATCAACATTTTTCCTTGAATATCTTAATATCTCCAAAGCTTTCTTGATATTCATATTCTCAAGATTATGCCTTAACTTGTGAGAAAAGTTACAGCAGAGGTCTTTCTGATTGGCTCGTCTTCCTAAAACTTGGAAGCGAACATCTGGTTTGGAATTGATTTAGTTCTTGTGTGTGAAGTTGCAATAGTAACTTTTATGGAAAAGTCTATCTTTTAAGCTCATGTCTGTAATCTCACTGTATTTCTCACACATATTCTTCTTCATATTCCAACACGTTAATTATTATCATCTTTCTCTGTTCTCTCTTCCGTAACCTCAGTGTATCACCATCTGGGTTTGGCATTGATTTAGGTCTTTCGTGTGAACTCGCAATAGTAATTTTTTAGGGAAGTCTAACTTAAGCTCTTGTCCATAATCTCAATGTATTTCTGTTATATTTTTCTGCTTCAGGTTCCAAAGTCTTGACTATTATCATCTTTCTTTCTTCTCTCTTCTCTCTTCCTCTGTTTTTGAAACAATTATGCATGCTTGAGGCGATAGTAATTCATTTTTCTTTTTCCTGAAAATAGACTCAGACCATAATATTTGTAACTCACAGATAAGGAAGGAATAATATGGCTGGAACTTACTATGAAACAGATGGCCTTGTGCAACTCTTCTTGGCTTTGGGTGACAAAGGCTGGTGCTTTATTCCTCTTGGTTATTCATAACTGCAATCACATTTTGCTAGACAATATTGGCTGCATGTTTAGTTTTCAAATTCCTTAGCCTATGGGTATCTTGATGTTTCTATAGAAAAGTTTTTATTCAAGTTATTTGAAAATTCTTTATTTATTTTTTTTAAATAAAAATGACCTCTGCAACACTAAAGAACTCTTTGAATATGTTAGATTCTGTTTATTGTCGTGAAATTACTATCCTCTTTTTATGAAACTGTTCTTTAAGAAACTGAAGCATTTTCAAGCATGGTTGCTCCTTTTACACATTCAGTCAATCAACATTAATCAATATTTTATGAATTATTCCTCGCTTTAATCATCTCTCTTGTCTGAAATCTCATTAGTTATTTTCTTGAGATTTATATCTCTCGTGTTGGGTCAATCTATTTTCAGATTTGCAAAACTCAAAGTGCATATGACTAGGAAGGGAAAGGAGAGTACTGGAGAAGTCTCAGCCACAGTTATAATGATAAGTTGAGTGTGACTGTGTAAGTATCCATTTGACAGTGTTCTAGGAGCAAATTCTGCCATGTTGAAGATAGTAATCCTAATATAATATTGGCCACCATCATAAAAATCAATTTATTGTTGTTTTTAGAAGTTTTAGTTTTCTCTTCTTAAGTATCATTGCAATACTGACTTTACTTTTTTTTTGTTGACTTATTTTGAAGTCAACTCATCAATATTCTTTGAAGCAATGTTGAATGGCTACAGGTTATGTTCCTTTTGTGTTGGAAGGACCGATGGCTTTCAATTTGAAAATTTAGTATTTCTTGAATAGTGCTCCTAGCATTGGTTCTGTAATTTATCAGCTTCTTTTATACATTTACTTGGAAAGCAATCACTTGATATGAAACCTATCCCTTGTTCAAGCAGTGTTGTTTAGTTTAGTTTTTGTCTAGGAAGATCTAAATACATGACAGTCATTTTGAATTTCATAGGTTTGTGGGTGTTGTTTATTCTTTTTGTATCATTGAGATATCTAGTTATTTTCCTGCTTTAACTTATTCCTTCAAACCATGTGGGTGGACATGTGATTCACGTCTTAGTCCTCTGTATTTCGATGTTTCTTGGTGTTAAACATATAATATGTTTAATGAAAAGAGGGCAAGATTGTCCTGAAACTCTGCTCCAGTTTTTGTACAAATCTCATGCATGATATCTTGCTGATCCTTATCCACTCTGCTGGTGAGGTGCTGCAGTAGTTTATAGACACCTAGAGATCCGGAGGGTAAGTTGATTGAATGGAAACTTGTAATGAATAGAAGGAAAATTATGATTGCGGAAGAGAATTATATGTCCAAAGAATTCGACTATCATGTTGGGAGAAAAAGAGAAGGAAAAAAGTACCTGAAGAGAGTTCGAGTGATTGTGAAATTCCATCTAAAATTAGGTGTCTTTCTTAAATTCTCTGATTGCTGTTTTGAGTTTTAATATTTATCAGAATTTTTTAATGCTGTTTCCAGTGTTTTTTAGGTGTTTGAGCTGTTTGAGTCTTGGTTACTCCGTCAAATTTATAAGTTACATGACGAGAGGTAATCTTCTCTCTCTCTCTCTCTCCCTCTCTTTGGATTCTCATGAAGACATAAACGTGGGACGCACCTGCTCCCTTTTCTATTATTTCTTCGTTGTTGAAGCATTTTACTGATTCCGTGGAGCCAGCAGATGAGTATATAACTTATAGATGGAATATGGTTGATGCATGATGGTATGTGGTAGACCGTAGACTGGTCTCACCAAAGTACGTAGTCTGGCATAGATGTAGGAAGGGTTGTTGGCCGAAAGCCAATGGACCCCAAAGCTCCCAACCAACATTACCTTTTGTAAGTGTTTCAGCTTTGAGTTGGACACGTGGGTTGATGTCCCATTTGGCCTTTTGATTATCAAAACATTTTCTATCATGTTCATGACTTTCTCTTACCTGGTTTGGTGGACGGTTTTTGATAAAAGTGGTGTGTCCTGTGCTTTCTCAAAATTAGTGGAATTTTTTATTAGGCACCAACCAAATGTCACAGCAGTGCTAGTAAGCCCTTGTGGGCAAATATATCAGTCTTTGCTCTACACTACTGTTACTACATCTAGCAAAGGTTACTTAGATTGATATTCATTTGGGTATTGATTTTTTATTTTTTTTTCTTTGCCCAAAGAGTTGGAGAAATGTGCTCTTCCAAGACTTGTGTGACTGTTAATCGTTTCTTTTTATGACTATTTATATGTAGCTTATGGTACCGTGTGTATATAAAAGTTGATGCTAGTGTGACACCTTTCAAAAGAAGGTACAACACCATTTGGTTAACTGGGGCCGTTTCCTTCTGTGATTGCTATATCCCAAGCATGAATGAAGACTGCGTTTTCGTCTGTTTTTGTTTGAATGTTTTCTTTTTTCAATTATGATTGACATTTAATTAATTAATATATAAATTTTTATTTTTTTTAAAAATGTTTAATCATGATATTAAAATTATCAATGTTCGAATATTGAATTGGATTAGTTATGTTTAATTTTTTTACATATATTACTTTTTGGCTATTAAATATTATTATTTTAGTAAAATTTATTTATTTATTAATTGAATAATATATATATATATATCTAATTATAACACGATGAAAATAACTTTTAAATAAGAACGTGAAGTTACAATTTATTTATTTATTTTTTTTTTTTTATAAAGAGTTTGTATTTATTGTTTTGTTAAATAGTAATTGGTTACTTGAATACTAATTTGAGTAAAGTTTGAAGAACGTAACATATTAAACAATGGTTTCAATTTGATTCTATCACGATAATGATGTTTGAGAAATCATTTGTTGGACACAACATATGCGTACCCCATCACAATTCACAAATGATAAAAGAGAGCATACAATCAACTCATGGCTTTTCTTTATTCACAATCTATCATTACCTCAATTTTTTTATTTAAACATGTATTATCAAATCAATAAAATAACAAAATATTTGTACAGTAAATTTTTAAACATGAGTACTTTTTTACCTAATTATAAAAATTAAATATAGATTTTAAATTGAAAGTTCTAAAATAATAAATTACTCCAATAACCACACTTATGAGAAAAGTTAATTATGTAATAGTAATTTTAGGAATTATCTGATCAGTTAGTTTAATTTTTTTTTTTTAATCTTACAATTGGAAAAAAAAAAAAAAAAAGCTCCATAAAATTTGTACGTATTGACTAAAATACTTTAATCTCTCAATTTAAGTACATAAAAGATTGATGATAATAATATCTGCTTCTCATTTTTCATAAAACAAAATTATTATTTCTTTAAGCTCAATTCACCTTTTTGTTTTCACAACAACTCCTATCTTCTTATGCCTATAATGGGGACTGTGCTTGTGTGAATTGCCTACCTAACGAAAACACCACGAACTGCTCTTGAGATAAACCCTAGTCAACAACCAATCAGTGGAGTTGATAATCAAAAAGAACCCTAGAAATATCGGACCCACCACCTTCTTCCTCTTCCTCTTCCTCTTCTTCTTCTTTTCCGTTAGGTGTTGAGTCTGTCCCAAGTCATTCCCTTTACATGAATATTTCTTTAAAAAACGCACAGCTTAATTGGAATTTTAAGTAGACCAAAATCACCCAACTTTTTCTTACTTACTCCGCTCTCCCTTTTACAGCATTATATAAAGGCTTCATTTTGAGAAGTATTGTCACAGCTGAACCTGATCTCTTTTGGTGGGTAATTAATTTCTTAGGTTTTCTTTTTCAATCTTCTGAATTCTGATCCGCCATTGACTAGAGAAGAAAGAAAATGGGAAGCTCTATTAGTGTCAGATTTGGGTGTTTGATTTTCATGGTTTTGTACACGGTAGCATCAAGCTTTGCAGCGGTTTACACTGTGGGAGAAGGTTCAGGCTGGGCATTGGGTGTTGATTATTCCGGTTGGACAAGTGATAAGACCTTTGTAGTTGGTGATACCCTTGGTCAGCTCTCATCTCTCATCTCTCTTCTCTTACTCAATTCTTTTTTTATAATAGAAAGAGATGCGATATATATTTCTATTATATCATAAAGAAAAGGATTACGAGACCTTCATCTTTTTCTGATTTTTATTTTGTTGAATCTTGAAGTTTTCAACTACGGGAGTGGACACACAGTGGATGAAGTGAGTGACAGCGACTACAAGACATGCACCGTCGGCAATTCAATCAGCACAGACAGCAGCGGCGCCACCAAAATCGCCCTGAAGACCGCCGGCACTCACAACTTCATCTGTGCCGTAATGGGTCACTGCACCGGCGGCATGAAGCTTGCCGTCAACGTAGCCGCCGGCTCAACCGCCTCACCGTCGGGAACCCCCGCCACCACGACTCCTTCAGACGCTTCTACTCGGAACACAACGGGAACCACTGTATACACACCAGGCGTCACAACAAATATGCCTCAAGGATACTCCGCTTCTGGGACTCTCTCTCCATGGATGGCCATTGTTACTACTTGTGTGGCTTTGTTTACCTGGGTTCTATCGTAAGTTTTCAGGCCAGGGTGCTTGTACGTCTACTACCCGCGCCCTTAGCCAGGAGAGAGGCAGTGCTTTCATTGTTTTTTAATTTCTTTCTCTGTGACTGTTCATCTGTAATGATGAGAAATATTATTTCGTTTGATCTTTTTATTAATGAGTTGTTAATTTTATTTATATTGGCGAACGATTGGACGCATATTAACTTATGATCTCAAAATTTAATTCGAGGTAGAGAATTCAGGGGCGGCATATTAACTTATGATCTTGTTTGGAATTTAAGATCGTATGAATACTTGATTTTGTTCTAATGCAGGATGTATGTTTTGGTGCATATATATTTTTAAAATATACATATATTTGGACAATGAAAATTTGTGGGAGCGAAAATTAAATAAAAGATATAAAATTTATTACCCATTATCTTGATTAGGAGTAGATCATCTCACTGCTAAATCCAGCCCGCTGATCAAAGGGTTACTTAGACTGTGTTTTTGGGCTTCTTGCAAATCTTTGGACTGTCGTTCTAATAAGAACAGAATCTTCAATAGAAAAATAAAAACATGAACCAAAAAATCAGGTGTAAAACAAGCATAGAGTTAAGACTAAACGAACAAAACCTTGGTGTTAAGCAAGCGGTTATTAGATTGAAACCATATATACACAACTCTGTTTGAAATATTTTGTATATATATTTTTTTAATTCTATATTATTTATAAATGTATTTATTTTAAATGTTACGTGTTGAGTTTAAATTTTCTTTTTAATAAAATCTATAAGTTGAAAAAGATAAAATAAAAATAATTTATATACTAATTGGGCTTATTTATAAACCATTAGGTGATAGACCAAAATAGCCAATATATATATATGCATGTACGTGTGAATGTGCGTGTGTATTGAAGAAATCAAGTAGGCAAATGCTGCGTGATATTTTAGTAGAGTACTTCAACAATCATTTTCTACATTAACAATAAATCTTAAGTCTCAAATTATAATAAATCTCAACAAAATTTCTTCTCCTTGTAACTAAATTTTTTAATTAAGACAATTATAATTAATTAATAATATTTATATTATAAAAAATAATAATAATAATAATAATGATAATCAAAGTCGTTGGCCTAGTTGTGTTGCCTCAAACAACAACAATTGCTACAGATTTCATCTGTCACACGTTACTATACATACATACATATATATTGTTTTATAGAGTAATTAAATCAATTGTAAGGGTTAGTAAATAAACTATTCCATTAATCTAAACTATAATGTTGTTGTAATTCTCTAAATTTATTGGGAATAAAAGTTGTAAATTAATTGAAGTAAAAATAAAACTAAAAATTTGAATGATTTTCTTGTGTTTGGATATGAACTGGAAATGCCGCTTTTAGTTCTGTTTCCTTCCAGAACATTCTTGTAGTTCTCGAGAAGTTTCTTCCCACCACACATCTCAAAGAAAGAAAGAAAGAAAGAAATCCAATGCTTTGCGCACTCACTCTTTTCTTTCTGTCAACTTTTCCACACTTATTCCCTACCTTGTTTTTATAATTAGAATAAATAAAGCTACTACTAGTATACATATACATGTATAATTTACACTAAAGAATATGTGAAGAGAGTCCGGATCATCCCACAATATATATATATATATATTAATATAAAGTTTTAAGAGATCATAATTATTAGTTAGAAAACGAACCCCAAAAGAAATATAAATAAGAATGAATTTTCAATTTCTTGTACAATGCTTTAAATTATTATCTACCACCAAAACGAACCCCATTTTATTACCCAAAAAGAACTTTTCTTTTAATATTTTATTATTATTATTAGTAACAAATAAAAAATAAATGACATTTAATTTAATTTTTTAATTAATAAATAAATCATAAATTTTCAACTTATTACTTAATTATTATTTTTTTTAAAAAAAAAAAAACCCCACTAACAGAAATAAAAATAAAAAAATAAAAAAACCGCGCACATGGGTTTTGAGTTTGTGCAACATGAAAGTCATATATATATATATATATATATAACAGCTGTTACCACGTGACACCTGTAAAAGTCCTCTTACTTTTCTTCCAACCCCATCAAAACACCACCTACCCACCACTTGCATTACACTACTCAGATACCAACTTTTTTCTTCTACTTCATAAAACGAATTATATAATATTTGGTACCAAAATTTAATAAGACCAAACTATAGGTACCAAAATACTATTACCAATAACTTCGGGTGCCTTTCCAGCTGTCCCCCCCCTTTTCTCATAATAATCTCACACACTACAAGACAAACCCACCGCACCATTTTCTACTTTTTTTTTTCTCTCTCTCAGACCTCGCAACGACAATCCTGAGATCACTTCAGTTTCAAATTCTCAAATTTAGACCTACAGAACTTGTTCCATGTAATATTTGTTTTCGTTTTTTGACATAATTTAACAAAGAAAATGATACGATGAGAAAATTTATTTGAATAAATGGGAAAATTAAAAATTAAAAATTATATTAACTTATAAAAAAAATGAGCAAAGAAAATTAGTAAATACATATATATATATAAATAAATTAAAAAAAAGAATTCATAAATACCAATAACCATAACAATAGTAAGAAGAGTAAGCAAATGGAATCTCAGATCAACCTCCAAAAGACCCATACAATCACAACCATCAACCACCGTAAATTCAAAATAAATAAACAATAAAATCAAAAAGACGAAGAAGCTCTCGAAAATCCTACTAAAATAACCCTAAATCGTCGGCTCCGTGTCAGATCTACAGCAACAAGGCCGCGGCGAAGACAGCTCCTGCGAAAGATCCGGCGGCGGAGATTCTGTTCAAGGCAGCTCCATTGCCGGGAGTGACGGCAGGAGCCTCACCGGGAGGGTTGGAAATGGATGGTGTGGGAGGGACCGGTGTGGATGGAGCTGAAGCGGGAGAGGTGGGAGGAGCAGGAGGAGAGATGGTGGGAGAAGTTGGTGCACTTGCTGGAGGTACGGTTGGAGCTACGGTTGGTGGAGTAGTTGGAGTGGTGGCTGGTGGTGGAGCCATGACTGAGGGAGTTGGAGCCGCAGCCTTTGGGGCCGGAGCTGGAGTAGCTGCTGGCGGAGATTGGTTCGGTGCTGCTCCGGGAGCCTGAGCAAGAGCGGAGTGGGAAGCCAGTGCCAGAAGCAGAAGAAGAAGGAAAGTCTCGTTGGCCATTTTTCGTTTATAGCTCAAGCGAGTTCTCGAGAGAAAACGAAAGGCCAAAGGGCTCAGAAGCAAAAAGGAAGAAGTCGCAGAGTACAGAGGAGCCGACTGGTGAGAGATTGAGAGAGAACGAAAGAGAGACTGTGCGGGCTTTGAAGAGAGAGAGAGAGGAGAAGAGAGTTTATATAGAGAAAAGGTTAAAGTCGGTTCAGAAAATTTCTTGTTTGTTTCCTTTTCTTCCAGATTTTAATCGTAAGATGACTTGTTTATTCGGAAATCTCCATTTAACCACCTTATATTTACGTATTCTTTCATTTTAGTCCTTGCCGGTCTAAATAGATAAAAAGTCTATTTTATTTTTGTCCTATCATGTTGATTTATTTTTTTATCAACATATAATTATACTTTATTGAATTATTAATAATTTATAATGAAATTTTACTTCTTCTAGAAAGAGAATTATTTTCTTTTAGACATGCTTATAAAAATTTATGAGACGCAATCATTTTTGTTATTTAATTTAGTTAAAAATTAGTTTTTTAATAAGAAAATGTCATATTAATTTGTCTTTGGATAATAGTGGCATTCGTAATAAGGTTTAATAAATAATTACTAATTATGGGAGACGAACGGGGAGCAGATCTACAATTGGTTTAAACAATTAGGGGAAGGTTTGAGAGAATGAGAAACTTGAGGGATTCAAGTGCGACAAAAAGGAAACTGCATCTTCACTGACACGTGGTACCGATGATCGCAAGGGAAGGATCTGAACCGTCGGATGAAGTACAATAATTTGACAAACTCCAGCGACGCGTTGTCGTAAAGCATCTTTGATCAACGGCGGTGGGTTGTTGGTTGACTTTTCTAGTCTTTGAAGTTTCTAATTGATCAACGGGTATAATTTTTTAATTAATCAAGTTAATTATTAAACGCGGAAATTGCCCTTATCGTTATGATTAGATTAGCCCGTTGTGGACTGGAATATATTATAAAATTTAAATTACAGGACTATCCAAATCGATGAAGAAAAGACATGGAACTCATCATAAGTTAATACATCTAAAGATGTGTTACTGTTTTCATTATCTTTGTCTCGTTGTCCAGTTGTAATTTTTTAAGACCTTGAACTTCTTTTCGTTGTTAAAAAGATTTAAAATCCAAGATGTACTTCCGGGAAGATTGTTTCATACATCTATTAAAATTTTAAAATTTACCCTAAACAAATCAAATTGCCAGTTAACCGAATTTATATATTGACTAGTTCTCCCAGAATTTCTCTTAAATTATTAAATTCATCCAGCTTCAAAAAGTCTTAAGAAACCTGATTTGCATGTTTATTATATAAGACTACCGTATAGATGAGCTCAAAAAGAAGCACCATAAATACATAATGCCATCTTCTAATCAAAGCAAGTTAAAGTCGTCAAACTCAGAAACCGTGCCGCTCACTAGACGACAAATACTTCTTCAATGACTTGAGAAAATAGCTTTGCCGAATATATAAGTATTTATTTTTCTTCTTGCTTATTCTTGAATTCTAATTCTTCACGCAAGGAAAAAAAAAAAAAAAAAAGTAAAAATTAATTTGCATTACCAATTCAGATCTTCACTACCAAGGAAAGACAAGCCTCTAAAGTTGACTATATAATTAAGTGCGCGTAAAGTCTAAAAACTGTTAATGTTTCATCAATTTGTGATGTAGATTGATCTTCCTTCTTTACCCAAAAGAGAGATCTCTTTCCTTAGTCTTAGAAATACCTGATACCGAAATGATCCCAGAAAACCTGTATCTCATATAGCAGATAAAAAATCTTGGAGTGCTCGTGTAATATGCAGATAGGTCAGGTTCATGACTCATTATTTAGCTTCAAGAAGAATTGAAGAGTAAGGGGCCACATTGTAGATGCCTTCTATGCCTGGGACACCTTCAGGGACAAAGTCATTCGGAGACTCGAGATTTGTGTCCGCCTGAAATTTGACGAGGCAAATAAATTACCAACATGTTTGGGTTCTTCTTTAAATTATTGATTGTGAATAAGGAATATTTTGCATGCCAAGTCAAGCCACAATTATTCCTGATCAAATCATTCAACTGAGACTTTTTTATTTTATTTTATTTTTTAATTCTTGCTTCTTTCACTCTTTTACTTCAAAAGAATCTTTTATTGGCCATAGTTATATCCATCATTTAAACTCGGCAGCTCACTTTACTGCATCCATGTCATGAACGTTACACTAGGAAACTTAATTAAAACAATGCTTTATCATTAATTAGCAGCAAGTCACAGGTACACGGGTTTGCACTTACTGCTTGTGAATGAATTATACTTTACTTTTTTATTTTTTATTTTAAAAAAAGCAGCAAGTGAGAGGCTCCTAATGAACATCACAGCAGGAGTAAGGCTGCATCTATGTGGTCCTTTTTGGGAAAGAAAACTAAAAGCGAAGGAGCATTACAACATGTGGAGAATTTGGAGCAAAAAGTTAGGGACTGACATGTAAAGTGACAACATAGCACCAAACCGCACCATTTACTTGGAGCCTAATATACTCATTTGATCTCCCATCTCCACAAATTTGGATCAACCCAAGGAACATTTTCCGTTCTCACATCCAGGTGTACAGAGAGGGACAAACCCTCTAGTTTTTAGGAAAGCCAAGGAACAATGATCCCATATGCTTAGAAAGCAGTATAGGTTTGAAACATTAAAAATTGACCAAAAATCAGTGGGATAGGTGTCCCGAAACAAAGTCCAAATAACCACTAAGAAATTAAGATTATCACTGAAAGTTGTTTCTGTAGCAAGTATTCTGAAATTGAAAGGTAGCAGGTATCCTAAAATTGAAAGATGAAAAGACAATTTAAGCATATGAATAATATTCGTGGCACTAGGATAATGTAAGTGCTGAATATAGCATTATATGTTGCAGATATTGCAAGTTCAAAGAAAAGAAAAGGAAAATACTAACCACAAGAAGCCAATGCCTCCTTGCTGGTGGTGGAGGTATTGAAACTCTAACAAAAAAGTCATGTGCATTGAATGCCAAATATATATCTCCACCTTTCTTGTCATGAAGCCTGCAAAAACCAAAGATTTCTCATTTGCTGTTCTGACTGCATATGCTCGTTAAAATAACAATGAAATATGCTCACTAGTTTCCAGAAAAAAATATATACGGCACAACATCTTCTAAAATTCATTTCATTATATATATGTTCACACACTAATTGTTTCCAAGCTAAATACTGTGTACATGATTGCTCCTGGAGTCCCCAGCATAAGTTTACTCTATTTAGTAATATCAGGAGATAAGGTCAGAAATAGTAAAACTAATAGGCCATAGATCTGGCTTTTGGTAATAACTGGTAGAAATAGCTTTGTTCATATATATCTAAACAGACTGTAGGCAGTCTGTCCCTCCCTCTTGTTCATAAAGGGAGTGAAGGAAAAGATTAGGGTCATCTATTGTCGGATGGGAACAGTTGCAAGCCTCCAGGTAATGAAACTCAAACTTCTTTTAAAGAGAAAATGAGACTACAATGGCCCATGAAGCTGGGGCTGTGCTGTTAGGAGGAAAGCACATTAACAAAGCTTGAATCCTTTTTTCTGGCAATCAGAGAAAAGAAGAAATACAATTGTCTGCCACAAGGAGACAGGACGGTATATAAATAGACGAGCACATACGCATGCACACAATGAAATAATTCTTTTTGATTAAGAAATAAATCAACAACTTGCCACTCTGTCCAGCATGCAATTTATAATATCAAACAGGAAATGGGAAATCTGTGCTTGATCCTGGACATCAGTTATGCAATTCCATTGCCAGGAGCAGATTATTTTTTACATTGCAGAAAGAAGAAAAATTTTATTCTTACGTGAACGCAAGAAATTTGCTGTCATAATTGTCCCAGTTATCCTCATGCCATGTAACATCACTCTGTATATGAAATGGTTCATTAGCTTCATAGGAATCAGAGGCAATAAACTACAACATGAAAGTGAAACGAGATTTACTTTGCTAATAAAGTTTTCATGGCTAAATACTTGATGACTCCGGCGAAATCTTATCACCTCTGCAAAAAATCTAAAATGACTACTCTTCTTTTGGTCCAACTGTTAACAAAAATATTTTGCATTAGGAGCCATCATGAGTTAAAGCTATCAGAAAGACAGAAAAACAAATAGAAAACATGCCTCGTCCCATTGGAAATTGTTAATGGCATTATCATGACCATAGCTGTTGTTGTTCCCATTACGAGTATGCCCATATTCATCTCCCATTAGCATCATTGGAGTTCCCTGCTTATATACATTCACTTTGGTCACATTAAAACAGCAAAGCTCACAAGCAACATAGAGAAAACCACTAAAAAACCAGGCATAACAACGCACAAGCTACAATGAAAATGATGTAAAAGAAAAGGAAACAGGCGTGGTGTGTCAAATTCGGATGGAATAGAAACGAGCTTTGAAGCCCATATACTGCCTATTATATTGAAGATAACAGCAAGGATTAATAGTAATAAAGGTAGATGACAAACATATGAAATTAGGGAGAAAAAAACAACTTAACCAACTCAATGTTGACTAACCTACACTACAGCAAACATAATTAGTCAAACAAGAACCTGAAACCCAAATAAAATACAAGTCCATTATTATTATTATTGTCTCATTGTCATTATTTTTTGTTTGAAAAAAAAAATGATTTGTGTATCAAGTTAAACAAAAAGTTTAGACTATTTATCCAAACAGGAAAACATTGAAGATCGTTTAAGCAGGAAAAGATAAAGTTGTAAGGCACCACCAATGTGCGACACTTTATACCAGCTTTCAGATATGTTTTACCTGCGATATCATTAATGCCAAATGGAAGTTCTTCATTTGTCTGGAACGCAAAGCTTTAACCTTAGGATCATCAGTTTCCCCTGTGCATAAATACAGATGAATGTAATATATTTTCTTGCAATTCCCTGAACTGCTAAGTCCGGTCATGTGTTCCCTATACAGCAGCTCTCAAACTGCCAAAATGGAAAATGATCATATAGCACACACACAAAAAAAAAAAAAGAAGGTAACAAGAATTTTGAATGAAAGGGATCATGTAGCGTATGGCTAACTTTCAAACAAAATGGAAGGTAAGATTTAGTTGAATGAATGACAAGAATGCATAAATCCAATAAGGGAACAGCCAACAACCTCCGCATCCATGGAAGCTTTTTTAAAACCTATCAATATCCTAAATTTTCGGCAAAAGATCTAGAGAAGAAAAACCATTATAAAAGAAGCAGACACAGACACTACTATCCAACACTTTCGAACATAAAATGATATCACATCTTCGGGAGAACAGGGTCACTCAAAACAGGCATCCACAGCCAAGCAGTGATGTCCTAAGACATTCAGGAGGTTTAAGGACCAACAAGAACCTGAATGCACCACAAATATGCTATGTAACTCAGTCCTCCCACGAATAGGGTTTGTTTGATGCAAACTAAAAAAGTAAAGCAAAGTACCAAAATGGTTAGTTTAGCTTTTGATCCTCCAAATTTTGGTTATAGAAATCTAAACCAAAAATTTTAATTAGGTTCATTTTGGTCTAGAAGATTTCAACCAAAACAAACCAAACCATCCTATTCGTGCCTAAAAGTACTTACTTTTGTTTTTGTTTTTGTTTTTGTTTTGCTAGGTTGTATATGTAACTTAATTTGCAAAAAATATTGTTTTTGAGATACGCTATTATTAATGTAAGGTAATATTGTTAGACAAAGTTACAAAAATTTTTGAGATACATAAAATGTAAGGTAACTTAATTTAGTTTGGTTTCTGTTATTTTCGTGGTAAATGGTTTGATCTGGTTTGAAATCTTTTTAGTTTCGTATGGTTTGGGTACAGGGTGTAAACAAACCAAATTAAATCTATTTATACTCCATGTATGAAGGGCCTACTTTTAAAGCAAATAAAAAAAACAACTTTCATCTCAAAGAAATTCCATAGTGACTCACTTCACAATCTGTTGATATGAAAATTTTCCCAGTTTTTGAGGTGTCATGTGATCCCATCTTTAGAACCTTAAAAATATGATGCTCTAAACCTGTAATTTACAAACTAAGGTTTCCAGATAAGTAGCTCATTCCTACCTTCAAAACCACAATTCCAGCTGAAATTATCATTGCTCCCATCATTTCCACCTTCTCCATTAGCATCATTGTGCTACAAAACCAACAGTAATGGGCAAAAGTGGATTCATAATATTTATAAAATCAAATTAATCCAGTAAAAGCATATAGTACCTTAAAATTGTACGAAACAAGATCGTACAAAGTGAAACCATCATGTGCAATGACAAAATTAACACTATGGTAAGGCTTGCGTTTATTGACCTATAGAAGGAGAAGAAAAGATCCAAAGGTTAATTTTTGCAATAGCCAATAATTGTGATAACTGATTAGGTGGAGGGGAATGAAAAATATTAAAAGTGATTTACTCATCAGAAGTATGTACTCTTTATAATATTGCAAGATATGAGCAAATTATAATATAGATTAAATAGAATAATATATTTTATTCCTTTACTGGGAAAGTGGATTTTAGTGAAGTAAAACTTTACAGAATATGCAAATAGACGTCTAGCTTCATTAACGAAATTTCTGTCACGTCAGAACTTTCATGAGTAGCATCTCATATTCTAACTTATAAAATACTATATCCTAAAAGATATTGACTAAGAACAAGGTCCATAAGATGAGAATCACAGAATAACACCTTCAAGTCATATAAGTCTGTAAACTGAATCAACCCATAGCTTGACAAATTTCTTTTTTAAAAGAAAAAAAAAATCAATTCATTGTGGAAGTCAACGCTTTGCTCCAGGATCTCATAGGCTATTTTGACTATAAATAAATAAATGTGCTCTGCTCACTTGTTAATTCAAATTCAGTTACAAAAATGGTATGTTAATAAACTTCTGAACAATCTAAACCTCAAAATTGTTACAGTTTTGTGTTAGCAATTTATGCCAAAATATTGAAGATAAAAATTACCCATGATTTCAACAAGAATATTAGTAGAGGACTTGAAGCACCCATGGTAGAATGATCATTACCTTGTAAAGATCAGCAGATCCAGAGATACGAGTAGCAAAGCTTCCCTTCATGCCACAATCACCCTATATCATACAATTTTAAACAAAAAGTAAAGTGGAAATTGGGAAATTGATAGATAAGAAAGCTACTCCTTTCTTTTGTGACAAAGGAAATAGAAAGAAGAGAATAATAATATATACAATCTAACCGAACAAAATGGAGAGAAACTAACAAACAAAATTTCTATGACGAAAAGTGATGAAACCAAGAAAGAATTAAGCATCAATCGAGTAGAAAACCTCAAAACTTCAGAATATCAAAACTGCGAATATTTACATAAAGTTCAGCTTAATAACAGAAAAAGAAAAGGAGATCAAACTCACAGTATTAACTGTCAATTAAAAGTTAAACCAAAAGATATTAACAAGGAGAATCTGACAGTTTCATCATAGCTCTTTAATCTGAAGAACCAAGTTAGAAATATTTTTTTTAAGATAAAAGTTAAAAAATATCTTAATCATATCAAAACATTTTTCTTTAAAGATATACTTATTTGTTTTCATTGAGTCACTTCTTGTCGTTAAGATTTTAATATGACCTAATATTAGATCTTTCTCCCCCTATCAATACCTTTATAAATCTTCTGATGTCATCACGGTACTTTCCATTCCATTCGGCCCACCTACACCAGAGAAATCTTGTAAGTTGAAGGTTGTATATGCAAGATGCCAACAGGAAATAAGAATACCAACTTCTTCCATGCCAAAGCTCAAGTACATCAGTTTTGCTACGCCAAGAAATAAGCGATGGGAAATTGAACCCTATCTGCACTCCTCCATCTCATTTCATGGAGGGAGCAGCTACCCTTACACATTGGAAATAATCAGATTGCCTCCTTTTACTAAAGTACTTTACCCACTTTATACTAAAGGTGATATTCACTCCTATCAAAGAATAACATTTAGGATTAATAAACAGATCGATCTCCTTTCCTTACGTTACTACTCAAAAAGAAGAAAGCGCCAAGAGAATTGAGAAAAAACTAGAGGTGAACTACCTCTCGGTTAAACAAGAAACTCTCCACTAAGAAACAGGCTTTCAAAATATAAAGGGTGTCCAATGAATATAAAGAAAACAATTATGTTCATCTTTAACGCATTGAACAAAAGAAATTGATAAAAAGAACAATAAAAATAAACATTACCTATCCCAGTTTGGGAATCTTCCCACAAGATATAGACCTCCACAATCCCATGGCTCAGCAATTATTTTACATCTCGATAGGATAGTATCTTTGGCAATTGCCTGGTTCATAAGTAATTATAGGACAAAGCCAGTCAGCAAAAGTGAAATTGCCATTTGCTTCAAGCAATGCTACTAATAAACTAGAAGCCATTTCTGGAAGAACTACCAATCAGTTCATAACCATCAAGTCAATGACATTTATTTTTTTGAGAAGACAAACAAAATTGAGGAGGCTGTCAACCAAAGATGTATTGCTTTATCCTTAGGCTAGTGTTTTGTTTAGTGGTTTATATTTGTCCAAAGCTTGTACTAATAAACGAGCAACTTTTGGAATCATTAAGGTTACATAACCTACTTTGCAAGTTATTTTGTCTTTTCTGGGACTCTTCTTGGTTGAAAATCCAACAAGAATAATATACTTATTTTTTATTTCATCATTAACAGGAAAATAGGGGTATAAGCAGATCTTTTTTCTTCTCTGAAATAAGGTATAAGCAGATCCTATAACCAAACAACTCGTAATGCACTAAAGAAAAAGTACAGCCACCTCTTCTAGATCAATATGCATGATAGCTTAACTCAAAGGCCCTGCTCTAACACTACATGAATTAGTAGTACCTAAAAAAAAAAAAGCGAGAAAATTAACAACACTTCAACATTCTCCTCTACTGAAGATTATATCAGACAAGGGAGTTAGTTCTATTTGCAATTACAACTACTGAAAATTAAGCATCAGAATTCAACTCTTTGCTGCTGTCAGTTTCATCATTCCATAGATCTGCAAATGAACTCGGTTTTAAAAGAAATGTTATTTTGCACTCAAGCCTGTGGCATACCAGAGAAAGAGTACAAAAAATTAAACTACCCTAATAAGAGGTGGAGCATTAAGCAGAGATCCATCTGTTCCCCGACAAAGTACACTGGCAAGGTCAAATCGGAATCCATCCACATGATATTCAGTAACCCTACAGAGTTAGGTAAGGGAAAAGAATGAGGAATCTTGAGATAATAATTGCCATGCATCAACCAGCAATTTTCTACATGGATCGTCCCTACCAGTGTCTTAAGCTGTCAAGAATTAGTTCCAGTACAACAAGATGATTACAGTTTAATGTGTTCCCTGCATACCAAAAAATGATGCTTCAGAAAAGGACTTTCAATAGAAATATCCAAAACCCATGCTTTTATCTTCAGAAAAAATAATGCAAATGCAAATTCCGCATTTCTTCAGAGCAGCTCAACAAACCAAAATCTCAAGTGGAATACTATGATAATAGCTTCTTCAGCATAACAACTTCAGGCAGTAAATTGACCGGATAAAGAACATTCAAATGCTAGTTTCCTTTCCAACAGCATGATGTAGTATCCAAGCCGACTAAAATTTTGGTTTTTAAATGAAGATAGAATTATTTCATATGAAACCTTTCAAAATGCATCTTCATTTTTGACCAACTTCCTAAGAAAACTGTAATTTAAATGCATAACGACGAAAAATTTTCAGTGATATTATTTAAAGACAAAAAATCAGAAGAAGGCAATTGATGTAAAAGAAAGAGAGCTTGAGCACAAGAATGCTTCCAAGATCATGGATTATGAAGCATTAAAAAATAATTTTTGGGCTCAGTGAGCAACGCACTTTTGGCTTGGGAAGGAGTTGCAAACAACAATAGATCCGCCCGCCTTATTCCACTTATTATTTTTTGGGTCATTTTGAAAGAAAGAAACTAGGACTTTTGATGGGAGGGAATCTGCTTTTGTGAACTTAAAAGATAGATGGTTACATTATTTTGGCTCCATTTTTTTGGGAGACAATATATACAATCTTGAGGATGTTGGAGCAGTTGTACTTGACCGGCACCACCTTGGTGCCGTATTTTAATACACATTTCATACTTTTATTTCAATGAAAAAAAAACCATGGATTATGAAGGAGCAAAGGAGCAATTAGGCAAGACAAAATCTACAAAATGGAAGAATCACTAACTTTGATTACCAATATTGTTTGCAAAGGGTGTCATTGTTGTAGTTCTTCAAGTATGGCTTCTTTTGTCTTCATAGAGTTTAACTCAACTGGATTGTCTTTACCTTTCAACATGAGCAATATTGTCTTTTGCTGCTAAATTAAAAGATCCACCCCTAGAAAACTCAACTTCATCTATACGAATAACAACCTCTTCCACAACACCCTTTACTTTCTCAATTACCCCACTTGTGTTCATGCAGTCCATACTTAATTCTTGATCATAAGATTGTAGCAGCTTCTATATCTTGTTTATTCATTAATTTATTTCACCCTTTTTTATCCTTTACTTGTTCTTGGTGTTCTATTAAAACTTTTAGATAGGTTACGCTTTTGTGTAACTGAAGATTCTAAAATTTTCTTGATGTAAGCGCTTTTTAATCTTCATTCCAAACATATCAATTTTATTACTCAATTCTTGGATAGCAATTTTTAATCTCACAAACAACTTTATTTGGATAGAATTGCTATGTTGCTTATATGACTTCTTTTCTTTTGCAAATGGAACACTTAGTTTTACTATTCTTCGTTATTGGAAAATAATATTGAATTTTTATTTGGAAATTACTAGAAAATTGCAGAATTTTGGCTCTGATTTGGTTTTAAAATGGCCAAATAACGGTTGGATATGACTCCGCAAATGACTTCAAAATCCCAAGGGTCATTGGATGAAATATGGCTCCACTTGCAGCTTCTGGCGTGTGAGGGCCACACATGCTCTTCCAACATTCTTAGGGGGTTGGGCTTCTGGCTAAGGGTTCCATTGACGATGCAGATCCTGAATCAGACATCGACGATCATCGACGTGGTCTGGAATATTAATTTCCTATAAGAACACTATGATCTTGAGTTGACTAGCAAGCATGGCAGTTACCAACTGAGATAAGGGTTGAGATTTTCGATAAGCTAGGGTGAGAGAATTAGGACAGCGTGATGAATCAAGTTTTTGTTCTGAAACCTATTGATTAGGATTAAAAAAGTTTGAACATAATATGTTGAGAAAAATTATTAAGAACCAAGATTGGAGATCTCAGATTTTAATAATCAAATCCACAACTCAATATCTATATAATAATTATATAAATAGTCTAATAAATAATTAAAGGAATACCCTATTTATAGCCACTAGAATACAATCAAAATAGAAAATATTAAGTCCATAAAAAAAATACCAAATAGAAAATAAGCTAATTACGTGATAACCTATAGTAGAGAATTACTAAATAGGAAATGATAAATCCATACTAATAATAGGCCTATAGTTAATAATTTTTAATAAGCTAAATATCTTAATAATAAATAAACATTAATTATATAAATGTCTATTACTATTGAAAGATGTCTACTTCAGGTCTTCTTGTTCTGCATCACAATGTGTGGCAAAGATCAAGTGCAATATGCAAGGAATTGTGTCCTTGTTGAATAAGGTACATAGTTCTATGATCCTAAAACTATTGCAAAGCAGACAAAACTCATTGATTTTCATGCAAGAGCAAAACCTTGATTCTAGTTACAAATAGCAACGACAAAAAGATAGAGTTATGCAAAATAGTTTTAATAAAATTGGAAAAGAGATTTATATGCAGTTATGACATTTTACAGGAAAAGAGATGCACATCCACTCAATGCATTAATAAAAGAGTATAGTTCTTCCAAAGAAAGAGGAACTATAAAGGACACAGAAAGTACCACAGCCAGAGAAATTCAGCAACTGGCCATTGTTATTTAAATCCACCATATAATAAACCTGCAAATGAGTTACAGGAAATACATGACTAAGGAAGAAATGTAAAAATTGGAAAGTAGACAACTATACTATTCCTTTCTTACAAAATTCAATCAAAAAAGCATTATAGTATCAAAAGCTTATATTAGGAAAAGAACGACAGAATTTATGAGTTAGGTGGTAAAGCTTGTAAATTGTAGTCATCATGCTAATAAATAAGTGGAGGGAAGGGCTTACTACTAGAACTCAAGTGTGTAGAAACCTTGCTCTAGTGGAAAATATGGCATTTTCTTTAGGAACAGGGTTGTAAAGATCAACTTTCAGATTGCTCTAGAACAACTCATACACTAAAAGTGGGTCGTCAATTACTTGAAGAAGTCCTAGGGATCCATTGCTCAAGTTTATGATTTGTTTCATCTTCTTTATTCCTCATCTTTATAGAATGTCTATCAGACCTAATGCTACTATTTTGTCTTTTGTAATAATCTAGATGGTAATGTATCTTGGAACTTTTCTCCCTTCATAAATCTCAGTGAACAATATTAGTTAGATATATGTCCCCAATCACTTTACTTCACTTGCTCTGCCTCTAGCCCTGATAGTCAAGTTTGGACCCTCGATACCTCAACAATCCACACTCATAAATCTTTATTTAAATTTCTTACTCACAACCCTATTAGCATCCCTCAACTTTGCCTTTCTCTTTCTCGAAAAGTGAAAACTTTGTCTGAGATACGGGTTTTCATCTACATTACTATCTTGAATAGGACCAATAATTATGTGCTCCACTCTCCTCATAGAGCTTTGTCCTCATGCTTGATATACTTTCAGAATCTTGAGTACTTGGCTTGGATAGTTTAGAATGGATTATTACCCACGTTTAGTGTTTCGCAAAGAGATTAGCTGGTTGTTTTAGATTGATGCATTTCTGTTTTTTCTTTCCTTTGAAGGAAACGTACTACTACAACGATGGTTTTTTCTTGTTTTCTAAAATATTTTTTTTTCATCCAAAAAAAAGAGCATGCCCCTCTTGACTCAAAGACCTTTAGTTCTACTCTTGTTTCTCTTCTTTTTTTTCCATGGGTTTGAGTGAATACAGGAGTGCATGGTGCTGCGGAGTGGACCACCTTCACAGGTTTATGGATCCTTGGCTACAGCAGAATGCTAGGATTTTTCAAGCAACAGTCTTGATTAGCATTTTGCTAGAGTGGTGTCCTGCTCTCAGGTTCATCCATTTGTCAAAGAGAATGTGATGTATTTTTGTATCAATGCATTTTCTTTACTTTCTTTATTTCTTTTGTTTTGTCTTTTTTCTCTAAAGGTTATGTTATCCTCCCCATCTTGTTTGGAATTCTTTCTCCCCTTTTAACTTTATAGAAAAAAACTAAAAAAAGCTTAAGATTTACTGAAAAATAATGATCTAATTAACGTACCTAAATTTAAAACCATAAGCAGAACATAAACTATAAAATACCAGAGGCATGGTTCCTGTCCTGTTAAATCAATAAAAGAATTCCAGAATCACCTTATTATCTATGCCACGAAATGAAGTGGTGTAAGGGTTTTCATCATCGGCTTCATTGGTATGATTATAAACAACATCTAAAATGACCTGCAGAGTAAGAAACAAAATATTTCAGTCTACTCTAACAAATATATTTCAGGTTTTCAATAAGGCAAACAAACAGAACTATCAAAAAGAGAAAGACATAGTCACCTCTATGCCAGCACCATGCAAGGCTTTAACCATTTCTTTGAACTCCCTTGAAGCCCTAAGAGCTCCACCACCACCACTGGCATAGCGACTCATAGGAGCAAAGAAATTTATGGTTGAATAGCCCCAAGTATTGATCTAGCAAAATGAATAAAGTTGATTTATTTTTCACTCTGTTACATCAAATCCAAGCACAAGGTAAGCAACACGTAAAAATTAAAAGAAAAAGAAGTAAATGGCAGAATGCTAGAATGTTCCCTAGCATTTCATTTTCTTCCCAAAGGTTTATAATGACATCCATTTGGGAGTTAAGTAACCAACCAACAATCATAATTGTCTGAGATTTGAAATCTCCTCATACTTGAGAAATCCAATAAGGATGCAAAGCTACAGCGGCTACTGGGAAATATGCAACTGTCTCAAATGGTATCTCCATTTGCATCACGTCTTAATTCATCAGAAGCCACATAAGGTAACAAATAGGATAAATCGTCATTAAGAAGCATCAAGATAAGAGAAGAAAATGCCAAGGAAACACAGGTTCTAAGTCAAACCCACAAAACTGAAAGTTAACAGAACTTGACTTCTTCAGCAACAAATATCATAGTGAGAACAAAATGCAATAAGGGTTCACATCATAAAAAAATTATAGCATAGAGCAGAGACAGATTTTTGTTTTACTACCATGTGATCTCTTGGGTTTGGACGCCTCTGAAACTCCAACTCATCAAATTCAAAGACAGGCAGTAGCTCCAATGCATTAACACCAAGCTCTAAAAGGTGTGGAATCTTTAAGTTAAAAAAAAAGAGTCAGGCGAGCTACATAACAATTCCCCAATAGGGATCATTCTTTAAATAATAAAGCATGCAAAAGAAATTTTCAACAATTGCATAATGCTGGTGCTGCCCAAGTTCCAGCTAGGCATCCTCACCTGCACTGATTTATGTCAAGAACATTCTCAAAACGTAGAAAGAAAAGTGATGCCTTGCATCACTTTCTGATGAGAATATTCTCATTCTTAAAGCGAT